TTTAAAAAAATATTTATTTATTTGTTATGTATACAATATTCTGTCTGTGTGTATGTCTGCAGGCCAGAAGAGGGCACCAGACCTCATTACAGTTGGTTGTGAGCCACCATGTGGTTGCCGGGAATTGAACTCAGGACCTTTGGAAGAGCAGGCAATGCTCTTAACCACTGAGCCATCTCTCCAGCCCCAATATTTAAGGTTTTAAGAAAATAATGTTTTCAGTCTTTTGGCTAAGATCAAGAAAATAATGTTCATTTAAAAATTTTCTACCAGAGTTTAGAAAAAGTTAGCAAGTTACAAGTTTATTTTTATGAGCTTTAGTATCTCTCTAATAATTTAATAAGATATTATGTACTTTAAAAGCAACTTCAAGCCAATTTTATGAATATATGTAATAAAAGTATTGAATAGAGAATACTAGCTGAATTCTGAGTGAATTCTGAGTCAGTATGTTAAGTATTCTCTTTTTTTGTCAAAGAATATAAGGAGAATTGATTATTGAGAAATGTTAGTGACTCCATCAAACAATAAAGTAAATCAAGATTTTGTAGAACAATATTGATCTGATCTTAAAAATACCCCCAGATTTATGCATCGTATGGGTTCATACCTTAAAGGTCTTTAAAGTGTCAGTCCCTCTAACAAGTTAGAAACACCTTTTGTAAAAATCAGGTAATTTGTACCTTGACCATATGGCAATATATAACAAATTTTTAGAAAGTGAGTTTAACTTTTGCCCTTAATTGTTAATAAAGAAAATGTTGAGGAAAAATTTCCCCTGTGGCCACATCTTACACTAAAATGAGAAAATGAAGTAAAAATGAAAATAAACTACATAAGATATTTCATTGTAAAGGAAATTGTTTGAAGGGAGTATGACTTCTTATCTAGGTAACCAACAATAAAATATTTAAAATAAATGCATTGAGAAGTTAATGGCTGTTTGTAAAATCTACCTCAAAGTACACCGTGATGAAACTGTTGATGTCTTAGTGCAGTGAAAAGACCTTTACAGAGTTTGATCCTGGATCCCACAGGAGTGGTAGAGAGCTGACTTCCGGAAGTTCTCCTCTGACCTTGACAAAGGTGTATGCATATACTTTACAAAATAAAAAAAAATTAACTGCAGTGTGAAATTAGGTGTGGCAGTGTACACTTTTAATCCCAGCACTCTGGAGTCAGAGGCAGGTAAATGTCTGTGAGTTTGTGGCCAACTTGGTCTACATAGTTGAGTTCCAGGCTAACTAAGGCTACATAGTGAGATCCTGTTTCAAAAATAAACAATTAAACATACACACAACCCAAGGAATGTGAAAATACTCCTCGTGCAGCTGAAATACTAACTTGAAATACATTTACCTTAAAAAACACACACAAACAAAATTTTGTAGAGGAGCTACAAGAAACAAAACGGATAAACAAAAATATGTGAAGACTGCTCACATGGTGTCTACAGCATGCCAACACCCACAGTTCCTAATCCACAACTTCAACGTAAAAGAGGAAAACTGGAAGGTCTGACTGTATTTCAAGAAAAATCATTGAGTTGCAAAAATCTGAGCATACCTTTAATCCTAGCATTTGGGAAGCAGAGGTCAGTAGATCTCTGAGATTGAGGCCAGCCTGATCTACATGAAAGAGTTCCAGAAGAGACAGGTGGATCTCTGTGAGTTCGAGGCCAACCTGGTCTACAAGAGCTAGTTCCAGGATAGTCTCCAAAGCTACAGAGAAACCCTGTCTCGAACCCCCCCCCCCCAAAAAAAAAGAGTTCCAGATCAGGCAAGGATACACAAAACCTCATCTCTAAAAATTGAAACAAAATCTGCCTTGAATTAGTCTGAAACTGTTTGTAATCTTCTAATATGACTTCTCTTCTGTTTATATCAGGAAGATAATGTCTGTGGTCAGTGTGTTTCCCAACCCTTAGTGGGAATTTTAAGTATCAAATTAACTGATCAAGCTCAGAATCACTGCTGTGTGAAAAAAAAGTAATTCTTATCACCCTTGGGAGTGACTTTCCTAAAAATAACAAAATCACTATGGTCAAAACTTTGTTTTGTTAAAATTTTGCTTGGCAAGATCAAAGATGGTAAGAGATTAGAAGAAAAAAATGAAACAAATGAATTTTAAAAGCTAAAGGATTTTGTATTTTTCAAGAACTTTTAGGCTTATAGAACAGCCAAGCAATAAGTGTAGGGTCTCCTTTACACCTGCTCCCAGAGTTTTCTGTGTTAACACTTGCATTGATGTGTTTGCTAAGTAGATGAGCGTGTAGTCATGGGTTACAAACTGAAGTCTCTAATTTACATTAGAGTTTAGTATTGTATAGGTCAATAGGTTTTGACAAATTGTTATAACCTGTGCTCATCTTTGCAGTACTTCAAAAATATGGGTTTTGTGTGTATGTGCATGTATGGGCAAATGGATGCTCCCATGTGCAGAGTCCCCACTGCCACCACAGATCTCTGTACACACTGGTCTCTGTGATATTTTCTGTGTTTTGCCTGTTCTAGAATGGCATATGGTTGGAATCGTGTACAATGTAGTCTCACACTGTTATTTTTCCACTTAGCAACAATGCATTTAAAATTCTTCCATGTCTTTTTAGGATTTTATGTCATTCATTTTTATTAATAAGCAGTTTATCTATTCACCTATTGAAAAACATCTTGGCTGCTTGTACATGTTGGCAGTTATGAATGAAACAGCTATAAAATTCGTGTCCATCATTTTCTGTGGTTATGTTTTTCTCTCATTGGGGAAAAATAGCAAACAATGCAGTTGCTACATTGTATTTAAGACAGTATGTTGGCAAGAAACTGTCACTTATCTTCCAAACTAACTGTACTGTTGCATCTGTATGAGCAGTGAATGAGTTTTTAAAATACATTTTAAAAAGTTCTACATGGGCTGGAGAGATGACTCAGCTTTTAAGAGCACAGGCTGTTCTAGATGACACAGATGCGAATGCCCAACACCCACATGGCTACTAACAACCATCCGTAACTCCAGTCCCAGAGTATTCTATGCCCTCTTCTGGCCTCCATGGGCAACAGGCACACATGTAGTGCACATACGTACATGCAGGCAAAATGACACATGTAAAATAAAATTAAATCTCGATTTTTTTTACATTTTATAAAGCATTATATTCTAGAGAAAATAAGCTCTCAAATTATATATACACTGTAACCTCAGTTGTCTGAAGCAGATAAAAATAACGAAGCATAAACACATTAAGCAGTTTCTTTAGGATCATGGTTGTATTTGTTTCTGCTACATTATAATTTTTCATTTAATTTTTACTAAAATAAGAAAAAGTGGTTGTGGTGACAAACGTCTGTAATCCTAGTATTTGACAGGCTGAACTATAAAGAGTGCAAGTTCAAGGACAACCATGACTACATAGTGAGGTGGAGGCTACCCTGGCTGCCAGGCTGTACTGAGACACTGTACTAGAATGGATGACACCACCAAACTGTAAATGCTGCATCATGATTGGAGTAATGCTGTGGTAACAATTGCTCCTCTCTCATTGGACAGGAACCCACAAATAGTCGTCTACCTCCTCACCTTGTTGCACTCGATTCTACCATACCTGGGTTTTTTGATGACATTGGGTATCTGGATCTCTTGCCATGTCGTCCTTTTGACACAGTTTTTATTTTCTACATGAAACCAGGTCAGAAAACAAACCAAGAGGTAAGATTCTGAATTTTCCCTCTTTTGTGTTATAAACACACAGGACTTTATGTCAGCTGTTTGTACTTGACATGAGGATTTTGTATTCTGTGCTTATGACTTGTTTCATTTAGAAACTGAGTGCTCATGACCCTGAAGCCTGGTGTCCTGAGCCTTTCCATCCTCAAGAAGCATAGTGTGGGTTCCTTTGTCTTAAGGAATTCATACTCACAGGCAAAGGAAACTAAAACACCTGAAGGTTAGCCACAGGGAGCCAGAGCTAGGCCTGAAGCTTCAGAGGACTGCAGTCTTAAACTCTTCCTGGCTACCTTTCCTGGGGCTCATGCCAGGTAGAAGCGAGCATGCTTTCTCTTTACAGGTAATCTCACACTAAGCCATTTCAGCTGAGGTAAAGCATAGACCGTGATAAAGTGAAACACAGTTGGATATGGGTAACAGGAAAGACTAGGAAGGTGAAGGGATGTATTAATGTAGGTGGGAATGGAGAGCTGAGAGAAATGTCAGGGAATCTGAAGTTTCTGTTGGAAGCAAGTATTGAAACATGGGCTAGATGGTAGCTGTGACTAGAAGAGGGTCAAAGGAAGATGTTTGGGTGCTGTGACCATGATTGGAATTGCAGGATCATTAACTTGTCATTAAATTAACACACCACACCTGGCCGGGGGTGGTGGCGCACGCCTTTAATCCCAGCACTGGGAGGCAGAGGCAGGTGGATCTCTGTGAGTTTGAGTCCAGCCTGGTCTACAAAGGGAGTTCCAGGACAGGCTCCAAAACTACAGAGAAACCCTGTCTCGAAAAACCAAAAGAAAAAAAAAAAAAAAAAGAATCTGAATCCTTTCTCTTCTTAGCCAGTGGAGATTATTTTCTGGCTGCTAGCAGGTGAGCTGCAAGATGTATTTGAATCACTTATTGCTTGACTAAAATTTCACAAGTTATTTATTTATAGACTTCACACCTAGTCAGGCTACAGTGTAAGAGCAAAGCTTCAAAGAGAGCTGGGGTTATTTAGTGAGACCCTGTTTCCTAACACCAAAGGAAGGGCAGGTTAGATGCTCCATGGATAGAGCTAACCAAGTCTAGTGGGCTTAGTTGGATTCCTAGACCTACACAAAGGAGAAAATGATTTCCATAATTGTGTTTTGACACTTCCACATGCATGCTATGGCAATTTGCACACTCCTGCACTTTCTCTTTTTTGTTCTCTGGCTTTCTCTCACACAGTACTAAGTAAATAAATAAATACTAAAAAAAGAATTTGAGAGAACTATGGGTAAATAAAACAAATAGACTGAGAAGTAAAGACTGTAACTCTTCCCCTACCCCCACCCCGTTTTTCTTTTCCAGGCATGTGAGCAGGGTATTGCCATCAGTTAGCACTGTATAAGTGACTAGAGATTTATGGATGAGCTGCTTCAGTCATATGAGAGGAGCCCTTAAAAATATGGCAATTTTAGGATCTTGTTTTTGCTAACATTGTAGGCCTGGGGCAAGCTAAGGGGTCTTTTAGAAAATTCTCCAAATGGTTTGGCATATTCTCCACTGCTTTTTCACTTTTACTTTGGAAAGGAATTCCTTTATTTTCCTATCTTTAGACCTGAGAGCATAAGAGCAGCTGTTTCTTTGTTGTGGCAGCTGCCCAGTATTTCAGACCAGTGAGTAGCGTCTTCTGCTCTGAATCCCAGCATTGTTCTATCACTGTGTCTTAGTTTCTTTTTCATTTACTGTGATAAAATACTCTAACAGAAACAACTTAAGAAGAAAGGCTTATTTAGCTCATAGTCCAGGTCCATTGTGTCAGGGAAGTTGGAAGCTACAAGGGGCTGGCCACATCTCACCCATACTCAGGAAGCAGCCATGAATGCATGCAGGCTTGTATTTTTCCTCCTTTACATCAGTCCAGAATTGTGCCCATGAATGGAATGTCCTGCACCAAGGTGGATCTTCCCACCTCAGTTAACCCATTTAGAAAATACCTTGTTGGGTGGTGGTGATTCCAGTACCTTGGAGGCAGAAGTAGGTGGATCTCTAGTAAAAAAGGCCAACTTTGTCTACATAGTGAGTTCCAGGATAGCCAGGGTTACATAGTAAAACCTTGCCCAACAAATAAGTAAATAAAGAAATAAAGACCCTTAAAGGCATGCCCGTAGATCACCCTAATCTAGACAATTCTTGAGATTCCTTTACCAGATTTTGTCAAGTTGACAACACGAACCATCATACTGTGACAGTCAAAAACATCTCCAGGCTTGCCACTATCGTTTTGACCTCCAGGAGAGAATGACTTTTATTAATTTTTTTAAATTTAATTAATTTTTTGCCTGTGGCCATCCACATGCCATGGTATGTAGGTGGAGGGTCGAAGACCAACTTGTGGGAGTCTGTCTCCTTCCATCATGTGGGTTTCTGGGATCAAATTCAGATCATCAGGCTCAGTAACAAGATAAGTTACACATTGAGTTATTTTGCCAGCCTCAAAACCTGTTGAGAATGAAAGTTTCCCCTCTTTGTGGCCAGTAGGAGAGGGAATCTTTTGGTTACTTTGTTTTCCTGTACTTCCTGTCTTCTCTTCTTTGGACTAAGGAAAGGGCAGTCTCATATTCATTTGTTAGTTATACCTCATCTTCATTGAGTTTGCAGTAGGCTTACAGTTTTGTTTCATTTGTCGAGGCTGTCACCACACTCCTGTTTTTGACAGACTGCCAACTGTGAAGTCAAGGACATTGTACCTTTTGTTTACTTTTAATAAATAGGCCTGCCTCAGTAATTGTTTTGCCATAGGGATAGCTTAGGATTTTACTTACATCATCTCATAATCTTCATAACCCTCATAATCCCCATTTTGCTATGGAGAAACAGACACAAGGGTCAGCCAGTCCAGCCAACCAACTCCAGAACACACATTTTCTGTGGTCATATATTTCCAAATTCACTCAGAACTGGACCTTGATTTGTCAGAAGTGTCAAAGCTCATTATTTCGCGTGTGTTTATTTTATTATACCCTTGTATTCCCTTCATAACTGATGCTTCCTGTGTATTTCAGATTTTAAAGAACGTGGAGTCTTCCAGAAATGTTCAGCCACATTTCCTAGAATTTTTGCTTTCCCTTGGCTGGTCAGTAGATGTGGGCAGGCATCCTGGTTGGACGGGACACGTGTCCACCAGTTGGTCAATTAATAGTTGCGATGATGGTGAAGGGTCTGAACAAGGTAAAGCTCATAAATAGCTGCTGTTTCTGGTTTGTTCCTCCCTCCCCTTTCCCATGAATCCTTTAGCCTTTTAAACAGTTTACATCATGGAAAAGTCTCCTTTCCTCAGTTCTAGTCTTCAGAAGGTCACATTTAGTTTGTATATTCTCTTTTTTTAAAGTTGTCTGTTTTGTGTAGGAAGGTTGGGTAAGGAGAGGGGTACACATGTACCTGTGGATGTCAGAGGACATCCTAAGGGAGTCTGCTCACTCTTTCTATTGTGTGAGTTGCAGGTATGAACTCAGGTCAGGAACCGTAACCTTCAGAGCCATCTTGCTACCCTAATTTGTCTAGTTTTATAGATATTTCCTTTGTGTGTAAAGATGTAATAGTAGGGTAAACTAATATAAATTTAAGTACTTACTATTTGCTGTGCTGATGTGTTTCTTTTTATATGTGAAGAAACAAATACAACTTATAATATTTAATAAGTCTAAAATGTGTCTAATAAATAATAGTTTCTTAACAAATGACTTTGTTTTCTCTACTAACAAGATTTTTTTTTTTTTTTGAGAGGGGAAGGCACATTCCCTGGGTATATGCCAGGCTATCCTAGAACTCAGAGAGGTCAGTCAGCCTGTGCCTCCCTGTCCTGGGAAAAAAAGAATGTTTGATAGACTTTTACCCACTAAACCAATCTCACTGACCCTGGCTTAAACTTTGAAGATCATTTCCAGGGGACCAAGAAATTCCAGATTGTTTTAAGTGTTTTATGTAATTATCAGCACAAAAGCACTCATTTTATTTGTAATTTTCCTTTAGATCTGTTCTCTGGATTTTTTTCTTAATCCCTACTTGTCTTCTATGAAGCTAAAGAAAAGCAGTATCAGACTTTACATGCATACACTGCCGTAGCCTGGAAAGGAACATAGCTGAGCTGGAGTCTTTTTTTCTCCCTAAGCCCGACTCGGTAGAGAAATTGTATTTAGAGTCAGTCCCACCTACACTATAGCTGCGGGTCTGCTCCAAAGTAGGGTCAGGCAGAGTAGCTGCTGGAGCAATAACCAGAGTAGATGCAGAGTGCTCCCGAGAGTTTCAGCTGTGGCCTGGACCTAGTTTTGTAAGTAGAATGTTATTGGAACTTAACCATACTCCCCTTTGTGAGCTGTATATGACTGCTCTGGTCCTACAGTGATAGGATGGTTGTAGCAGAGACATATTCCCTGCATCAAATATTCACTCTTTGGTCCTTTGTAGAAAAAGTGTGTCAACTTATGCTCTAAAGTTCTTGCTTACCACATCTATACCAGCATTAAGTACCCTAATATGTTAGGTGAAATCTTAGTTTTGTGATTGGAAAAGCAAGCATGTTTTCATATATTCCTTTCCTGAAATCTGTGTCATCTTCCTGTGAAGGTCTGACACTATGTCATATTATTATATATTCATTGTAACTGAGACTTAGACTAGTTCAGACTGTTAGAACTCATTTTGGTATAGAGCAGATACTTCTAAACTCCCTGTGTGTTTTTACATCACTGATTACCAGAGGGGAGAGAGCAGAAGCAGAGCTGAGGAGCAGTAGAGTGTCCAGGTCTGCTGCAGAGTAATTTCACAAACTAGAAAATTATTATATGAAATTATTATAAGGATAATTAACCAACACTCATGTTTTGTTTTTCTCACCTACAAATTGGTTCTCGTTGAAACTGCCATTGCTTTATAAAGTGACTGAAATTCATGAACAGGAGGTGAAGGTGCCCAGCTTTAAGTACTGATACATTGTTCCTTATTCCCAGATGAAATAACTTCCTCTGAAGATGTTGGGGCTAGCATTTTCAATGGGCAGAAGAAGGTCCTGTATTATGCTGATGCCCTGACGGAAATAGCTTTCGTGGTTCCTTCTCCTGTGGAGTCCTTAAGTAAGAACATGTTTTTGCATAGAGCTATTTTGAGATCTGTTTGTATATTCACTATTTGGTGTGTTATGCATTGGAGATTTTTGAAGTCATCAAAATTAAGGCATTCTTTAGCTTCTAAGCAAGGATGTTATAACTAGATTATACACATATTAATTTAGCCCATTTCTAATAATGTGTGTAAGCACCCCAAGGTGCGCTTACCAGGAAGATTCTAACCTATGTCCATCCTGGGTCGGAGCTTCATCGCGTCTTACCAGGAAGATTCTAACCTATGTCCATCCTGGGTCGGAGCTTCATCGTGTATGCCCAGGAGAGCGAAGCAGGGCCTCTGCTTCAGAGAGCAGAGCTGTCGAGTCTGAGCTCACTTCCTCTTCCTCCCAGCATCCTATTCTGTTTACTCCTCCCACCTATGTTTTAACCTATCAGGGCCAAGGAGTTTCTTTATTGCTTAACCAATGAAATCAACAGATTGATATATGACACTCCCACATCAATGCCACTTGCCATTTCTGTGTGTTACTCAGCTTCTGGTGATATTCATATTCCGGGACAAGAAAGAAGGCTCTGATTTGGAGTGTTTGTTGCCCTTTCAGATGATCTGGGTTTGATTTCCTGTACCTGTGTGGTAGCCTACAACCATCTGTAACTCCAGTTCCAGGGAATCCAGTGCCCTCTTCTGACTTCCTTGGACACCAAGCATACATGTAGTACATATACATATATGCAGGCAAAACATCTGTTTGCATAAAATAGAATATCTCTATTTTCCTGGGGGTTTTGGTCATTTCTTTTTTTTTTTTACTACTACCAGATTTGTTTTGTTTTTAATCTCCCACCATATTGTACTTTAAATTCAGACTAGGTTCTTAGTAGCTTTCAGGTGTCTCAGTGTCTACTTATGATGGTACTTTTGATTGATATATAAATAATTAAGAGAATAACAGCTTTGATTTCATAATTTTCTCATCTTAGTTATCCTGTAGACAGCAGGAGATGACAAACTATAGTGCACAAACCAGATTCAGCCAAGAATGGGCTTTATGTGGTTATTAAAGATTAAAATGTTTCTTTTATGTGTATGAATGTTTTAGTTGCGTGTATTATGCGCACTACATGCTTGTCTTTTGTGCTCATGACAGCTAGAAGAGACCAGGGATCCCTTGGAACTGGAGTTACAGATGGTTGTCAGTACCTTGTAGGTGCTGGGAACCAAACCCCATTCTTTTACAAGGGTAGCCATTGCTTTTAACTGCTGAGCTGTCTCTTCAGTCCCAAGTTTTACCTTTTTTCAAGTATTGTAAGTAAAGTGCAAAGAAGAGTGTGCTGCAAAGACTTCTATGACTAGCAAACCCTACCCTGAGGTCACCTGCTCCTTCATAGAATGTCTGCCAAGACTTGCTGTGGAAGCAGTGCTTGGTCTTCAGTTACTCAGGGTAGTTAGACTACTTAACATAATTAAACTTCTGCTCCAGAGAAGTAGCAAATATAATTTTTTTCTTGCCTTGCAGCCGATTCTTTGGAAAGTAATATCTCAGACCAAGATAGTGACTCAAATATGGATCTTATGCCTGGAATTCTGAAGCAGCCACCCCTGACACTTGAACTGGTCCCCAATCACACAGACAATCTTAATTCCTCACAGAGGGTAAGTTGTTTTATTGATTCACCCAAAATTTTGTGGTGAAGTGGCAGTAATTATAGAACCAAGTCTGAAAATTTCTCATTTTTTGTAATGTAGGAGGTATAGCAAGACTACTGATTCATTAACTGAAGTGTTTTAAAATGAATTCTTGAATTTTTCATTTTTCTAATCTATAATAAATGGTTGTCCCTAAGACAGCATTTTTCTTGTTTTTGACATTCTGCTTCAATGGTCAGTCTCTCGCTCACTCCTGTTTAAGCTGAGGTTTTCGGTATCCACTAAGCATGACAGCAGGAGCTGTGTGTAGCTTTTGTCCTCACACAATCCAGCTAAGAACTGTCTGCAAAGCCGTAGCATTTGCAGACACTAAGGACTGCAGTTCTCCTTTGTCTATTGCTTTGCTTTCAGCCATTTTATGACCCATGCTCAACTATAGTCTAAAAATATTTAAAGGAAAATTGCAGAAATAAGCAATTTGTAAGATTAAAATAATGTAGTATTCCGAATAACTTGGTGAAATCTTACAAAATCCTGTTTCTTCCAACCTAGGATGCTAATCATCCTTTGTTCAGTATCTGTATACTTCCCCACTTCTGCCCTCATCTGTCACTTTAGTTTTGGTTTGGTGTCATGGAATGTTATACTGCAATGCTTATGTAAAGTTAACAATGCCTAGCATTTTGTCACAGTGTTTTACTGTGGCTCATGTGGGCATTGCATCACCTTGTATTATTGCAGGAAGAGGAATGCTTATAGCATGATAAGCTTTCATGAAGGAAAGAGACCAAATTCACATAGGCTTTTATTGAAATACACTTTATTTCTTCTGTTTTATTGCTGTTGTTACATTTACTTCAAGGGTGTTTCTCCTCTCTCTCCTCTCTCTCTCTCTCTCTCTCTCTCTCTCTCTCTGTGTGTGTGTAGTTGTACACTAGAAAAGAATATGGATAGGATTGGGTAGTTACTGGTTTCAAGAACCCATGGAGAGTCTTTGAATGTATCCCCATGGATAAAGGTGGGGTGGGGGCTACTGTTTATAACTAAATCAGTTGAGTATGACACACAACTGCTACTGCATACGAAAATCTTTTGCTTTTATACTTATCATCTGATTTTATTTCTTTATCTGTGTTTACCCCTTATCTTTATTGAAAAAATGACTTAAGTGGTAACAGAAACACATGATCAGGCTGATTGATTTCAAACAAATAATAAAAAAGATGAAGTGTAAATCTGACCAAAGTCATTCCTGAATATAAATTCAGGAATAAATAGGATTTTAGTTTGGTTCATTCCAAAGTTAAAATTATTACTCCCCCCCTTTGCCCCCAATACTGGGTTAAGCTTAAGACTCACACAAGCATTATGAACAGAAGTATTCAAAGAGAACATCAGAGTTTGAAAACAAGATGGAGAAATTAGGACACCGAACATTGACAAAGATTAAATTAGTAAGAAAATAAATGTAGTACTTTGAAGATGTATGTGATACCTTGAAAAGATCAGATTTAATAAGAATCATGGGCAGAGGGGCTGGAGAAATGGCTCAGTGGTTAAGAGCACTGCCTGCTCTTCCAAAGGTCCTGAGTTCAATTCCCAGCAACCACATAGTGGCTCACAACCATCTGTAATGGGGTCTGGTGCCCTCTTCTGGCCAGCAGGCATACATGCAGACAGAATATTGTATACATAATAAATAAATATAACAAAAAAAAAAAAGAATCATGGGCAGAGAGAAGGAGAATTTCATTCTAAAGACATAGAAACCATTTCAGTACAATCATAACGTTTCCCAAAACTAGGGATAGAGATGCCAGTCCAGATACAGGAGGCATGTAGAATATGAGAGTGGACTAGAAAATGAACCTCCCATATCACAGTGTGTTTACATCACTAAATATACAGAACAGACAAAACAAACTGGGCTGGGGAGGTGGCTCAGTGGACAAAGTGGTGGCAAGAGTGCTGAGTACCATCACTGGTCCGTGTTTAAAACATACATCCACAAGGATATCGGAGCGACCAGTTAAGCAAGAGATAGGAAAACACCATTCTAAGACCAACAAAATGAGAGGAATTAATACTGTCCTCTTAATAATACTTTTAATAGTATGGTCTCATTTCTACAATCAAAACACAGACAACAGTTTGAATTTTAAAGAGGGATTTGTTGCCACCAAGAAACACACCACAAGACACCATAAAAAAACTAACTCCTTAGGATTAAAGGATGGAGAAAGGTAGTCCATTAAAATGTAACAAGCAAACAAGCCTTTGTTTTCCTAAATCTGGTAAAAATATACTTGAAACAAAAACTAGTCAAAAGAGTTCCTACATACTCTTCAAAGGAACAGTCAGTCATTAATGGGACATTCTAATTTTAAAACATACATTGAAAATGCGTACACACGGTTTCATAAAGCAAATACTACTAAGTGTAAATTCACGCATTGACCCTATCATAGTAAAAGTATCCAATATTCATCATTTGGACAGGTTATCCCAACAAAAAATAAACAAATCATCCAATGGGATATACTTTAACAAGTATAAATACTAATGGCAAACAAAATGCTTGACTAATGAGAAAGTCACTAAAGAAATTAGGAAATACAAAAATCTCTAGTATCAAAAATGGAAGCACAAATACCAAAAATGTGGGGTACAATGAAAGCAAGCCTAAGAGGAAGATTATAGCTGTAAGTGCCCACACACATAAGAAATCAAATAAATTTCAGATAAACTAACAGTTCACCTTAAGATCTTGGAAAAATAAGAACAGACCAAATCTACAATCACTAGACAGAAAAAAAATTAAGATCAGGGCAAAAATTAGTGAAATGGAATCAGAAAAACAAAGAATCACTGCAGCAAAGAGCTGGTTCTTTCACAAGATGGACAAACCTTCATTCAGCCTAACTGATGGAAAGAGAGAAAGGCAGGTGTGGTGGTGCATGCCTTTAATCCCAGCACTGGGTCTGCAAGTGGGTCTCTGAGTTTGAGGCCAGCCTGGTCTGCAAAGCGAGTTCCAGGACTTCTAGGGCTGTTACACAGAGAAACCCTGTCTGAAAAAACAAGAAGAAAGAAGAGAAATCATAAATGACTAAAACTATAAACCTAAGTGAAGTAACTTGTTCTTACAGATAACTGTGAAATTCAGAAAATGATCAGGATGTGCCTTAAAAACGTGTATTACACAGAAAACCTAAAAAAACATGGACACTTTTTAGGTACATCGGGCATACCAAAATTAAATCAAGGTGAGGTCATTTTAACAGACTTATAACAAGCAGCGTTGTTAAAGGACTTAAAAAAGAAATCTTTCCTAAAAGAGAGCCGTCCTGGATTAGCTTCACTTCTGAATCTGCTGACTTGTAAAGGACTAACACCAGTGTTTCTCAGGCTGTTAACAACAGGAAGCACAGAACACTCCAGAACTGGTTTCTTTTCTGAAACCAGTATTCTGATACCACAACAAGATACAGACATACAGACACAACAAAAGGAAGATAGACCAATCTATATAGTTGCAAAAATTCTCAACAAAATATTTGCATTCCCAAATCAAGATCGCATTGAAAAGATCATTGGCTTTGATCAAGTTATCTTTATTCTAGAGATTTAGCAATAGTTTTACATACAAAAATCAATAAATGTAATAATACACTATGTAAACATTTTCTAAAGAGTAGAAATCAGATGATCATCTCAATATATTTAGAAAAGCCTTATGACAAGATCTGAACTCCTTCATTATGAAGAGATGGCTCAGTGATTAAAAGCAACTACTGCTCTTGCAGAGGACTGACTTTGGTTTTCAGCATCCATGTTGGGTGCTATCACCACAGCTCCAGGGAATCCAGTGCCCTCTGCTTCATCCTTGGGCACCCACAGACACAGACACACAGATACATAAATAAATCTTTAAAAAGAAAACAGATGCATCTAAGAGAATTAAGACAGCCTCAGAAAAATATGTTCTTTTTTGTGAGTTAGATTTTGTATAGTTACATAAAATTATGTACAGATATAGAAAAAGAAACATTATATACTATAGAACATCATGCATAATAATAAATGCACCTTAATATATTGACACATAACCAAAAGTAGTTCACTAAAAATAAGCCAGTTGAGTGGCTGAAAAGGCAAATGTGCATGAGCTTGCCTCAAAGACCAGTGAACTCTTGTCTTTTGCAGACAATATGAGGAAAATCAGGTATAGATTGCTACTGGAACATTTCATCTCAGAACTAGAGATAACTTTCTGATGTTGCATTTTAGAGACTAAGATCACTAGACAAAACAGTTGTATTTCTTTATCTGGGAAACGTACAGCTTTCTGGCCACGACAGAGGTAGATTCAGTCCTTTTAAACCTTTGTTAAAATATGACATGCAAATTTTATTGCTTTTTATGCAAATTGTAATTGTTCAGTATTCGTTTTATACTTAAAAGTTGTATCATGCTGGGCAGTGGTGACACCTTTAATCCCAGCACTAGAGAGACAGAGGCAGGCGGATCTCTGTGAGTTCTAGGCTGGCGTGGTCTACAAGAGCTAGTTCCAGGACAGCTAGGGCTACACACAGATACCCTGTCTCGGAAAACAAAACAAAAACCGTCTTTCTCCTTTTCTGTCATATAGCTTAGTCCCAGTTCCAGAATGAAGAAACTGCCTCAGGGTCGCCCTGTGCCTCCCCTTGGACCTGAGACAAGAGTGTCTGTAGTCTGGGTGGAACGCTACGATGATATAGGTACTGTATGAGGAAAAAGGTTTTCTCTAAGAACGATTAAGTTGCCAGTGACCTACCAAATGTCTGAAAAGGGCGGATACAGAGACTTGCAGTTCATAAACCTGGGTTTGTATTCCAGCTTCTCTACCCATTTCAAGAAACCTGTTAATTGGGCATACTTGTGACCCTTCTTTTCTAGTTATGAATATTTGATAGATTAGTAGATACAAAGTTATTAACTGTTTTGTTTGTTTCCTAGTTAGTGTTCCCAGCCTCCCAGGAGCTCTGGGCCATCTTTCCATGTGCAAAGGTGGTCTCGTTTTTATATAATTGCTTCCTTTGTCCTTAAAAGTTCTGCCATGGATAACTTTCTTAGGATTTTCATTTGATTTAAGAGCATCAGAAATGCGTGCTTAGCTTAGCACCCTGTCCAGCTCAGGGTTTATAGGAAAGTGTCATTCTGCTTCTAACCACGCCCTCACAGCTACAGGTCATATTCTCTGAAAGCCCTCTGCTTTTGGTGCACTTGGCCAAACATTGTGAAAGACAGCTGTTCTTATGTGGGGAGTCATTAGGGTTCCACACTGTGGTGCAGCACAGATGGTACTTGTTGCTGCCTGTGAAGAGGTTAGGAAATGAATTCGGGAAAATCAGGCGGTGGTAACTGTAATGTTGTTTTCTAGAAAACTTTCCCCTGTCAGATCTGATGACAGAGATCAGCACTGGTGTGGAAACTACTGCTAACAGTAGCACCTCTCTGAGGTATGTCCTCTTCTTTGCTTGAGCTTATCAGCATGTCTGTCTGTGTCTGTTGGTTACACTCAATAAAAGAATAAACTACTGCTAACAGTAGCACTTCTCTGAGGTATGTCCTCTTCTTTGCTTGAGTTTATCAGCATGTCTGTCTGTATCTGTTGGTTACACTTAATAAAAGAATAAAGAATTATAATCAAACAATAGTTAAAGGCAAATAAGGAAAGAATCAGGACCTGGAGAGATGGCTTGGTGGTTAAGAACATTTGTTTTTGCAGAAGATCCAAATTTAAAAAAAAATAAAAATTTTAAAGAATCAAAGAAAGGGCTGGCAAGATGGCATTTATGTGGCCCCCTTTTCCATGTTTAAATATGTGATAGACTAGTAGATACAGCTGTAAGCTATTTGGTTTCCCAGTCTTCTCAGGAGCTTTGAAGAGGGAAAAAGCCAGCATGTGAAATGCTCAGGAAAAAACAAAATTAAAAACTTAACTTACTGAAATACAATTGTTATACAAAAAGTTGTGCATATTTGGCGTGTTCAGTCTTAAATTTGGAGGTATATTTTACATATGAAACCATCACCACTATATCCTGTAAACATACATTATCACCTCTAGAAGTCCCATACCACTCACAGTACCTATAATTTATTATTTTTTTGTTTTTTGAGACCATTTGTTATTATTATTATTATTGCTATTACTATTTGCTTTGCCCTCTTAGACTTTTAATAATGTAATGCAGTATTACAGCCTTACTCAGTATAATGAACACTTGACTTCTAGGACTTACTTGGTCTGCATAAATGAAATTTTGTATTTTTCCACCAAAAACCTTCCTGTTTCCATATTTAAGGACCTTGTAATCTCTTGACTTTATTTTATGTTCTTCAGATAAATTCTATTATGTAGAAGAATTTATCTTTCTATGTGTAACTTATACGTATGTATATATAATTACCGTATTGGACTTTTGCTGTTACTGCTTGTGCTCTGGGCTCTGTCTTGACACTGTCGCAGCCATGCTGACAGCAGGTCCCAGGCCCTGATACGTGTTCTTACACCTCATAGAAAAGATTCTTGTGTCTGAACTAAAAGGACTTATCTTTTCTAAGATCTACAACTCTTGAAAAAGAAGTCCCAGTAATCTTCATCCACCCTTTAAACACTGGATTGTTCCGGATAAAAATCCAAGGAGCCACTGGAAAATTTAACATGGTCATCCCCCTTGTTGATGGGATGATAGTCAGCCGGCGAGCCCTGGGTAAGTGCTGTGTGTCCTGAAGGACAGCAGTCCTGACTTTCTTTGTTCTCCTTCACCTTTAAATTTTATTTTATTCTTATTCTTTGATAATCTCATAGATGTATTTAATGAATTTTAGTCCTTTTTCACTTCACAGTACATTGATTGCCTCATTCCTCTTTGTTCTACTGAGGCCCTGTCAACATTTTATGGTGTGTGTCCCACTGAATTTAGATAGGCCCCATGTATGGCTGTGGGTTGGAGGTTATTGTTCCATAGAATGCCAGCAACTGTATCGCTGTTTGCCTTCTTTAACACTTTCATAAAACACAAGTAAGGAGCTGGTCTTAATAGTCGCTGCATGTAGAAAATGCTGCCGTTTAAGCTTTAATCTGGTAATATAAAAAGGCCTTCACTAACTGAATGAATTAACTACATAACTAAAGAGGAAAACAGAGAAGATGGGCTGTGGAATAGCAGCTTTGACTCTGTCCTGAGCTAATGTCTCTCTCAGCAGTTTCATCTTGGTGCTGTGTTTGTTTCTGAGGTGGGAAACCATGGGATTGCAGTGAAAGAGTTGTAGTGTTGAGAAAATGGTCCCTTGAACATAGCTCACCTGACAGCTTACTAACAGTTATTCTCACCTGTCTTCAAGGCTTTCTGGTGCGGCAGACTGTAATAAATATTTGTAGAAGAAAGAGACTGGAGAGTGATTCCTACAGTCCTCCACATGTCCGTCGGAAACAGAAAATCACTGACATTGTCAACAAATACCGGAATAAGCAGTTGGAGCCAGAGTTTTATACTGCCCTTTTCCAGGAGGTTGGGCTCAAGAACTGCAGCTCTTAGAGCACAGTCTGCCCAGGGCAGTGGACTGCAAAATGGGCTCTGACATCCAAGCAAGACAGTCCTGAAAAACACAAGCGAATCACTCCCAAGACTCACTGTTCAATCACCAGAACCACGATGTGAAGCCACTGGCTCGACTGCCTGCTTTCTGATGATGGACCTCACATAGTCACACTCCTGCTGAAAAGGACAGCAAGCATTTTAGCCATAAACTTTATTTTAAAGTGACAATTTTAGTAAATATAAGCCTTTTGAGGATAAAGGCTTTTATGCATCAGTTAAATACATGCATTGGTAGTGTCAACAGGCTTGCAAGGTAGGAGCTGAAGATAGTTTATACCTCGCTTTTTAGGAGGGTGTATTCAAAATTAAAATCAGTCTCAGAACCTTCCAGAACTTTTTAAGGCTCAAGTTGACACCGTGAAGGAGGAGGTAGCAGCTTTGTGCTCATGTTTCGATCTATTTGTTACCTGTCATACTGACAGGTGAAACATAAAGGGTTTTACTCAGATGAGTCTGACATTAAAATATTTCCTATTTCTTTCTCCATGTTTAAGTAAGTTGTCCCTCTCTCTGCTGTGGAGATCTGTCATATGGCCTCAGCTTTTTAGCAGACAGATGGCAGTGGAGGCACAGCTGTGTACTCTAATGGCTGTGAGTGAGCAACGATGCCTTCGTTCTCCGTGACTGTTCAGTTCGATGGCCTGATGATAGGGTAGACATGGTTTCTTGATTAAATACCAATAATGGGAGTTCACAACAGGCTGAAAATTATTTCAGGACCAAGCAGCAAGCTGCAGTAGTTCTTGGAGGGTTCTATTCATGGTTCAGGAGGAAGTGTCCCACTGCCACTCACTCAGCTCTTTAGAGAGCAGCTGCTTCACAATCCATAGAATCAGAGTCATCTCCATAGGTGGCAGCTGCTGTTATGTTTCCTGGTCTTAGCCAGCTGAAGGTACAAGTTCCCTGCCAGGACTCTGGAATATTTCAGTCACTTGACTGTTGTTTTTCTGCAAGGGACTAAGCATAGGAGGTGGCCAGAACCAAACTGTTTTAGGACTCCTGTTACAGTGTTCACTATATTCCAATTTTTATGTTCTTACTCCTTCAGTAAGATTATTTGTCTTAGAAAACAAATAACATGTATAGTCCAAAGAAGAATAATCAGAGATTAACAGGGCTATTCCCCCGCTGTCATTAAGATCTGCAGATCAGGGTCTACTGTTTGGTTTGAGGTTTTGCTCTTTCCCTAGGATATTAGGGGCAGTGTTATACCCGCTCATCTGTGCAGGTGCCTCCATTCTAGAAGTATGTCTTCTGCGGTCCCTGAGCAAGAACCATGGGTGTAGCATCCCGTAGGCTGGTTTGCCACAACCCCCCCTTTTTTTTCTCTACTCAGGTACAGACCCCCCCTCTCCTCCAATCTTCCTTGTTCTTGGTGTCATCCTCTTCCTTCCCACTGTGAGTCTAGTTTCCATTCAAGGCATAGTGTTCTGTCTTTATTTTTTTTTTAAAGTCAGGCAATAATCTAATGTCTTCAGGTGATACCGTGGGGTAAGGAATGGTAAAAATTAGTAGTGAGGTTTTTCCTAAAAATATTCTAGTAATTCAGCAAGAAGAGGTGAAATTGAACAACCTTTAAGATCCTTCCAGACTGACACTTAATTTCTTGTTCTGTGTGAGGTGAATAAAGAATTTGTACATACATGTGCAACTTAGAACATTGCAGAGGCTACAGATAACTGATAAAGATGTACTTCTTTCCTACTCTGGGGATTGTTTAAATAATACCAGAAAGATGACGTATGGGATTTATGTGTTGGGGTGGGCTTTCTGGCCCTTCCCCTTCGGTTGGCTCTAATTTTGATAACTTTGGTAAGAGAACAACAATGGCAGATGTAGATTGAAATCTGGGGTACATGGTGATTCCCCAAGAAGGGAGGGAAGCCCTAGTGTGTACAGCCAACAGAACTTGGGATGCACCCCCTCACTGGTTCCTTCTGCTCCACACACCATCTACCTACCAGAGGGTGTGATAAGAGCCTTCGGTCTCAGAGTGTGGTTTGGAATCCTGCTCGTTGAGTTCACCCTCCTGCCTGCGCTAAGATCACTTTGAACAGAATCTTGTCAGAGGAACATACTTAGTACTTACAATAATCTTAGAAGTTCACTTGATAAATTTGCCCACACAGGCTCAGAAACTTTGAAGAAATACTGGAACCAATCTGGACTATGGTTTAAACTGTTCGGTTGCTGTACTTGGATGCCTAGGCACTCTCAAAGAGGAACATTTGCTAAGGGTATTTAGGCTGGCAGCCCCCTCCTGTTCACTTCTGAAACTGGGGGCGGGAGTAGGGGATTGCTCCTTTGCCTGGGAGCACAGGAGACAGGGCTCTTAACTTCTTCAAACTTTGCTGCCACCTTTCCCATTTGTCTAGAGTTTCCTCTTAAGGCCTCCTGGCCTTTGGCTCCTTGAAAAGAACTCCAGTGGTAGGGCAGCCCTCCCGGCCATACAGATGCATGTGCCATGCACATGTGTATATGAGCATCTCCCTCTTCAGCTCCCCGATCTTAGGGTAGCTCCATCATGGGGCTCACCCATAAAAACACCTACACTTTGGCTGGCCCTGTCGTTGTCTGGCTCACAGGTAGTAGGACAGCCTGGAAGAACAGCTCCCTGTCTGCATTAGGGGAGAATCAGGTTCTGCAGGCTGACCTCTACAGTGATGAGTTTTCCAGGGTGTATTCCTATTGAGAAGTGGAACTTCCCCACAGAGTCAGCCTTGGTCAGAGCTGGGTAGGTGGTGACAACTGTCTTAGAGGACATTTGACACTCTCCTGGCGTCAGTTGTCCATTAGCATTTAAAGCCTGTTCAGGCCGGATCTTTGGTGTTAACAGTGACCATTGGCACCCGCTGGTCCGTTCTCAGCACTCCCTGACATTCCCTCTTCCTGAGGGATCCACCTGGCAGTGGAGTCACTTGTCTCACTGCTGGCAGAGCCCGGCATTGCATAGTGTTTTCTCAGAACAGCCACCCTTGTTCTTCAGACAAGCTTTTTTAGTGATGAGAGGAAATGTGTAATTTGGGATTCCACAGTGCCTTGCATATGGTAGGCGCCCAATACCTATTTGTTGAAGCAAATCAAGTTCTTTGTCCCCACAGTGACCAACGCATCTTCCTCCGAAGGGCTTGGCAGTTGTGGCTAAAATCTAAGTATCATTATTTGCTCGAAACCATATTTACAGTTTGTATGAATTTCGGTATATTGCCAAGATGGGATCTTTTTTTCCTATTGTATTTTCTGTAAATATTTCTGCCACTGATCTGTAAAGTAAAGGAGATGTAAATATGAAGGTGTGCCTGTGTCCCTCGCTGCCTGTGCTGGATCTGCGCTAGCCTGGGAAGAAGGTGCAGAGGTTCGTATTTATGCCTGTCCTCCGTCCACAAGAAACCCACAGGATAATGAATGTAATACACGCAGTCAATTAAATTTTAAGGAGCTTCTTATCTAATAACTTGGTGTGTCCTTTTGGTTATCAGCCACAGGGCTGGCTCCTGCTTGGTCATTCTGACGTCACTCTCCAGGAGGGTCTGCTCAGTTTTAGCTAATCTAGGTTTTCACTCTAGGTTTTTTACTTTTCCTGAAATACTCAAAATTAGGCTAATTTTAAGAGAAAAGGACATGTCCTTCTAATGCTGGCAGGAGTGTGTAGAATTAAGATACAAAGGCTGGAAGTTGGGGGATGAGTGAGTCCTGGGGTTTTCTGCCTGTAGAGAAAAGTAAGGACATTCCCAGATGGAGAGGGCACAGAGGTCACCTGTGCCCTCACTGCCCCTTTGCACTGGTTGGCTCAGAGGGCTTTACAAGAAACATGTTGGGGCCATGAGCCTGGGTCATAGGTGATGGGCTGGCGAATCTTGGATACATAAGTGAGAGCTGTTAATATGCCTGCCTGCACCCGGAGCCACCCCTCCAGCCTGGCACCAACTCCACAGAACGGCTGTCCTGCTGCATGTGAGCTGCCTGGGACCCAGAGCCGCCCTCTCCCTTTTTCTTATCCAGCTCTACCTGCCAGCACAGGACCTACAGCTGGGCCAATTGGCACAAGAAGCTGACTTCAGTGGCCCATTTTGCGAAAGTTTCATAGCTAGCCAAAAATATAAGCATTCAAGTTTTTCCACCTCTGTAGCTCAGCTCTCCGACACACCTCCATACTGACCCGGCACCTAGAAATCCCAGCCCCGACTGCTCCTTTTCTGGCCTCTGGGCCTGCCTTGTCCACAGCCTGCCGTGTTCTTAGGTGCACGTTTGAATCCTGTTTACCCAGACTCCTGTGGGTTTACTCAGCCTGGCCTGGTTCCCCTTCTCTGTAGACAGGCGTCCTCCTCCATGTCTTGCCCTCTAACCCAATTTTGATGCATCAGCTTCCCAGTCTAGGACAACCCTGACTTCAACCTGTGCTCTTCCACTATGAGATGCTGTGTTCTCCCGCATCATGCCTGCCTCCCGCCCAGTCATGACTCAACCGCAGGGGTGCAGCCTCAATGAAGGAGGGTGAGCCTAGGAACTGGCACGTTTAACGTACCTCCCAGCCCCACTCATCTTTTGAAGACTGCACAGGCCAGTTTATTACAGACATCCCCTGACTCCCAATGAATGCCCACTTCCTGCCACAAGTGTAAGTCCAGCCCAGGTGGGAAGGATGAGAGGTGTTGTCTTGCCCCACCGAGACAAGGGGGCAAGTTTTTAGAAGTCCCTTGCTAAAACGCCTAATAAAGGTAAGTAGAGGAAGCTTCAATATAATGTTAGTGTTAAGTGGTGGCTCAGTGTGTGGCCCGACAGGTTTAGCCTACAGCGTTCTAACGAAGTCTGATCCCATCTGTTTGTGTTTGGAGGGGCAGATGCACCCAGGTGTTTTCCTGGTCTCTATTAGAACGGGATCTTTGGCTGGATGGAGCTTGCCGTTTCGGCTATTCTTGCTAGCCAGCTTGGCCCTAGGATTCCCTGCCTCTGCTGGGATTACAGGAAGGCTGACAAACCCACCTTTATGTGGATTCTGGAGCCCTCCCCCCAACTCTGGGCCTCATTTCTGGGATAGGCATCTTATTCCCCTCCCCTGTCTCCTGTTTTAAACTTGGGAGACTCCACATAAAAACCAGATGTTAGGCTCTTGTGGGGGTGGGCAGTGTGGCAATGCTGCATCTGCCTTTCCTATGTGGCAACTGTTGCTGGAGCTCCCCAGTCTCTTACCTTCCAGCACCGAGCTTCCTCCGTTCCCGACAGTGCCCTGTCCCACAAGCGCGGCGTGTGCGTGTGCGTGCGCGTGTGTGTACGTGCCACTGGAAGCAGCACCCGGGGCCCTAGCTGGTTCATGGCCACACTAACTATGAGTAGGCGAGTACCTTTTGTGGGCCGATGTTTGTCCTTCTGTTTCTCTGAGTTTAGAATTGCTCAGTTCCCTCAGAGGCTCGCATGAGCCCTGTGGCTGCTGGGCTAGTCCAGCCCTGGCCGTCCTCAGAAGTCAGCCTGTCTCCCAGCCAGACCCTTTCAGCTCCCTCTGCCTGAGGACTGTGACTTCCTTGTTACATCACACTCACTGTTAAGTCACAATTGGGCTGAAAGCAGAGCCTGGCCAAGCCGCCAGGCACTCAGGGGCAGCCTGCCTGCTCAATCCAGGTGGCTTCACATGGCCACAGGTGCACAATGAAGTACCCTCTTGTGCCGCTGGTGAACGACCTCACGCTCTCTTTCCTGGTGTTCTGGCTCTGCCTGCCCGTGGCTTTGCTGCTGTTCTTGATGATCCTCTGGTTACAGTTCTTACTCAGTCAAGGTAAGCTGGTCCAGGCTGGTCTCTTCATTTTGGAAGTGGGCACAGAAGGGGAATAGCGCAGCATTTTAAATGCAGCTCCAGTTGAAATAAGTTTTTTTTTCTTCCTTTCTTCCTCCCTATTGTGTTTTGTTGTTGTTTGGTTGTTTTTGAGGTATGGTCTTATTAGACAGCCCCAGCTGTCCTGGAATTCACTATGTAGACCAGGCTGGTCTTGGACTCAGGTCTGCCTGCCTCTGCCTCCTGAGTGCTGGGATTGAAGGTGTGCACTGGCATGCTGGCGACTGGGAGTTTCCTAACAGAGTTTGATTGACGCGTATGTGTGTCTGCTTGTCTGTGGCCCCTCAGGGCCACTGCTAGTGCTCAGGCTGAGCTGCTGAATTAGGAAACAGTGCTCAGGTACCGAGCAGAGCTCGGACTGGCCCTCAGCTTTATTCGGACCCTCCCCTGTGTGGTTTTGTAAACAGCGTGAACAGCGGGGCATAGCAGCCTTTGCTGTTTTGAGGGGGGAGGTCACACTATTCTGGTTTTTGGCCAGGCCTTCTCTGGTACACAGGATCATGGAGGCTTGTTGACAATGGTCCTGACTGCAGCACTTTAGCAAGACTGGGTAAAGCAGTTCTCAACCTGTGGGTCACGACCCTCTCACAGGGGTCACATCAGACATCCTGCATGTCAGATACATTACAGTTCATAACAGCAGCAAAATTACAGAGAAGAAGTAACAATGAAAATAATTTTATGGTCGCGGTTTACCACGGCTTGAGGAACTGTATTAAAGGGTCTTAGCATTAGGAAGGCTGAGAGCCACTGAACTAAAGGCTAACATAACTGACCTTGAAAGAGGCTAGGTGGCCAGAGGGTTGGGATATAGCAAGAGGCACCCTGTCTCCCCAAAGATCCCTCTTAACTCAGAGGCTTTTCTTTCCTGTTTCTAGGCTCTGTGACCTTAGGTCGACTGGGCAACAGTATGCCCAGCTTGCTGCCAGCTCTGGTCACAAGTTACTGAGGCGATGTGAGCAGCACCCTGCACTGCCTGCCCCATGATCCTCTTGTCTGGCCTGCTCATGGTTTCACTTCAGTTTCCCGGCAAGAGCCTCAGAGGGCCTCGAGTTTCTGAAAAACATGTTTTAAGCATATTCACCTCACTCCCAGGGTGGGCCAGAGTCCTCCCTTGGGGCCCCACCCAGGCAGTTAGGGGAGTTGAGGCTTGTTGGAAGCTGTCTCTGGCTGGGGGTGTGAGTTGGTAGAGTGCCACATAGCACGCAGGAAGCCATGGTTCTGATAAACCAGGCATGGTAATACCTAGTGTACTCTCAGCACTCAGGAGGTAAACACAAGGGGATCTTGTCATCCTCAGCAAGTCTGAAGTCTGGGATACACCAGACCTTCCCTCTGGAGTCTAGTATCGGTTCCTTGATAGATTATACTCAAGTCAACTTTGAACATTTAGAAGTCATTTTGAATGCCTGACGCATACCGTCTCCCTCCAACCCTGAGGAGAATCCTGTAAAGAGTCCCCATTGCCCACATGGGGAAACTGAGGCTTGCCAGGAAGAAGCAACCTGCCCAGGGTCACAGCCTGGGCAATGTCATCGGTACAAATTTCAGGGCTGCCTGAGCCTCAGTTTCCTCACCACAAAGTGAAGGCAGTCACACCCCTGTACACAGGTACACGACTTTCAGGCTGAAGAAAGGCTTTATGAGATCTAGTGCTCTTGTTGCAGGGACCTGCGTACATGGTACCTAGTAGGTGCTTGTAGGCCCAGCCAGTGCCGGCTGAGTCAACGGTAGCTGTGTCAGTGTGGAAGGAAGTACAGCAGTGACTCTGGGTGGCTTCTCTGGAGATGACGTCTTACCTCCGCCTTTGATCTTCAGAGGTGACAGCACCCTGGCGTCACTGTCTTCTCACTCCTAGTTTCTCTGTGTGTTCTGCCCTGGTGCTGGGATCTGGTCCAAGGTGGTTGGTGGCTTGCAGCCTCAATAACCGCAGGCCTGTATTTTTTTTTTTTAGCGTCATACATTCTGAAAGATACGGGTAGATGTCAGGCGTCCATCAGCTTCGGGTGTGCCACCGAGGTCTCCTGTGAAGCGAGTGTGGCGGTTGAGTCGCCCCAGGCCTCTCATGATAGAGGCGTGTGCTTTTAGGAATTCTTTCCTTCACATGTGTGTTCACCACCAAGCAGTACAAATCACAGGTGTTTGGTAATGACTGGCCTAGAAGATGAATGATGGGCAGGTCGGTGACTTGGGGTCTCTTCAGTGTTTCTTGTCTCTACAGAGTCAAAGGAAGATTATTCAGATTTATGTTTCAACTGGGAACCCTGGAGCAAAAGACCTTCTGAGTCTGGCCATGAGGAGACATTCTGTGACTATGAGTACAGGCACTACTGGTGAGCCTGTTCTACCTGGTAAGATCTTTGTGGGGGATCCTGGAGACTGCAGGAAGACCTTGGGCCTGCCAGCAGCTGACTCACGAGGGCAGGCTGCCTTGCTGTATGGCTGCCCTGTGCCCTGGTCATGCTGAAGAACTGACAGTCCTGCCATGCTCTACACGGCTTCAGGGATGTGGCCTGACTGGGACAGTGAGGATATGAAGACAGGGCAGACACACAGACATAGAAAAGCTTGGACCGGGTGATCTGGGTTCTCGGAGGGAGCATGTTTATTGCATACATTTGGATAGGGAGGCAGGGTCCATGGTATACAGCTGGATGAGAAATGTCTTAGGGTTTTATTGCTGAAAAGAGACACCATGACCGTGGCAACTCCTAAAAAGGAACATTTCATTGGGGCTGGCTTACAGTTCAGAGGTTAGGTCCATTATCCTCGTGGTGGTAAGCACGGTTGGCGTGCCGGCAGACATGGTGCTGGAGAAGTAGCTGAGAATTCTTCATCTGGACCCACAGGCAGCAGGAAGAAACTGAGATACACTAGGCCTGGCTTGAGCTTCTGAAACTCAAAGCCTGCCCCCAGTGACACACTGCCTCCAGCAAGGCCACACCTCCCAATAGTGTCAGTCCCTATGAACCTTTGGTGTCATTTCCATTCAAACCACCATGAGAAATCAGGGTCTGTGGTACACAGCTGGGTGAATGTTGGAGGAGGCCGCTAGTTGGTTCCTGGCTGCTCAGAACCGAAATAATCACACAGTAGTAGTAAAGGTGGGGGTGAGGGGTTTCTGAGGTTCAGGACCTCTGATTGGCTGACATTTGTCTAGGGGTGTCCTGGTGAGTATGTGCTATCAGGTGGTCGACATCACACTAATCTTCTGAGCTCCATCACCTGCCCTTTTAAGCTCTCCGTGTCTGGGGTGGGATTCTCCACTCCCATTGCCACCCAACACCCAGTGGCCTTGTCCCCTTCTCTTTCCTACCTCCCTCCACACAGAAGGGCAGCTGACGCAGGTAGCTGACTCTAGCCACCACCTCCGGGCTCAACCTCAGGCTCCCTCACATCCAGCCATGACTGCAGGTCCTGGCGACACACATCTCTCTGTCCTCACGGCTGTCTGACTGTGAACATGGTCAAGCACCATGCTCTCTAGTTGACATGGCTGGTGGAGGTGGAACTGTGAACCAGGGCCCCTCACCCAGCCCTCGCCGTGCCTTAGAGCCCTTGCCTAACCTTTCTGGGCCCCAGAAAAACTCTCACAGAATCGCGTGATGGGTTGGTGTACAGGGTGGGCTTCGTGATTGTTGAAATCCCTCAAGGCCCCATGGTCAGAAGTCTGTGTTTGATTTCACTCCCTGCTATGGCTGTCTTTAATTGTTTTGGTGTCTTAGTGTTTGGGTTTGAACACAGAGACTTAAGCATACTAGGCAAGCTCTGTACCACTGAGTCACACACATCTCCATCCAAAATTCTCAGTTTGGGAACAAGAGACCATCCATGTCCATTGTTTACGGGCCCCATAGTCAATGAACGGGGCAAACAAAGAATGTTTTGACTTCTTGAAAGGGCTCAGCCTGTCTACAGATAGCTCCCCCCCCCCCAATCCACTATGGCTCTTCATCCCTTACCCTTCACTGACTTCATTCCTAGCCCAAGCACTTCTTATTCCTGGCATGTTCGTCTAGGTATCATCTGGGCCCAAGTGGATGGTAGAAAGAGAACACTGGATTCCAAGGAGCCTTCCTGGGACCTCCGGTGGTCAGACCTACCAAGCCTGTTGCCGAATCATCTGTCCTCCATCAACACAGATGACCTGAAGTCTTTCAGAGAAGAGTCAGGCCCAAGGAGTTTATAGGGGACAGCTGGCCAGCTCAACTCCCAGGAGGTGTGGGGTCCCTATTAAAGAAATGGGGTTCTTCTGTGCCCTGCCAGAGCTTCTGATGTCCGTTCATTCACCCCCGACTCCCTCTGGACTGTCCCACCCTCACGTCTGCTCTGTCCCTCTGAGCTTCCAGCATCACCCATCAAGCTCGATCCTTGTTTAGACTGTAGTGTGCCTGTCTACTGCGTCTGCTGTGGTCTCCTTACAACGGGAGCATGTGTGAGTGTTTGCTGTGTGAGCCCCACTCTCCTGAGAGCCTCATGTGGGCTGTGGCTAAAAGGGTTCTATGAGGGGAGATCTTGGTTGTCCCTCAGTTTCAGAGAGGGAAACTGGGCACAGCAGTTGAGTAACTTTGCCAAGACATAGTGGAGGAACAGGGATTCCTACCCAGCCCAGTGATTCCTCAGGCATGTGCTGACTCAGTGTCCATCCTCTCCAGGTGGGGAACTGGACACAGGTGGTGGGAGATTTTTAATTTTTTTTTTTAAGACAGGGCGTACCTATGTAGCTCTAGCCTGGAACTCACTGTGTAGACCATGTTGGCTTCAAACTCACAGAGACTAACCTGCCTCTGCCTCCAGAGTGCTGGGATTAAAGGAATGTGCCATGGTGCCTGGAGAATTCCCAAAGTCTCCTGCAGCCCTTCTGGTTGCCCCAAGGCGACAGGGAAGATACACTAAGGGAGGAAACAGGCCTCCCAGGTACTATCTGATGTCACATTGTCCCTCCCCCAACATCCCACTGGACACCACAAAAACTGACGGCGTCCCGAGAAGAAGATAGATCCTGACTTGCTAATCGGTGGCCATTCACTATTGCTCCTCAGTCCTGTGAGAATGACCCACCCACAGCACCGATCAGAGCACTCCCATCTCCCTAAGACTGACTGTAGCTCCCTGCGGTCCTGCCCAGAGTCCCAGCTCCGCAGAGTAGCGCTGCCCTTTGGGATCCGAGCCCAGCCCATGTTGCTGGTGAGGTGTCTCTTCCACCAGTGGGATGCAATGACCATGTCTGACTTCACCCACAAGTCTGCCCCTATGTGGAGATGTTCCAGAAGGTTCCAGAAGGTGCAGGGCAGGCCACGCAGTACAGCTCGCAGAAGTTGCCAAGTCTCCCCACAAAGGGTGACACCAACGCCGCACGGAAGGTCATGTTTTTCTAAACCTATCTACATCACCAGCACACAGGCACATACGCAGAATCACACACATCCTCAGGTTCTCACGGGTACACCCGTGCCTCATCAGGGCTGCAATCTGTCTGATGGGCCTGGGCTTCCTGGAGGCATGTGAACAAAATACCTTTGGTAATGGCTCTCATGCAGCTTGGCTGGAGCTGCCCCCTGGCTTTGCCTGGAGTCTTCTATACCAACCCTGGTGTAAGGAACCGGCATCTGCTCAAAGGTCAGAAGCCCCTTGTAGCGAGGCGTGCTGGGTACTGACTGACGGCAGAGCTTCCGTACAGTCCTGGCCGTGCCAGGACTGCAGGACTGCACGGAAGCTCTGCCGTCCAGCTCCCCATCACTGCTCCAACCTGTCTGGAAGTAAGTGGAGTGAATCCCGAGGGGAAGTAGGAGCAGCCAGGCCCTTCTGCACCTGTTGAGGCAGCTGGAAAGATTTCTTGGGAAAAGGTATGATTGTCGGTATCTCTGATGCAGTCCATGTCTCTCCCTGGTCACACATCCAGTCAAATGCCAAGGATGGACTCGCGCATAACCGTGTGTGTGTGTGTGTGTGTGTGTGTGTGTGTGTGTGTGTGTGTGTCTGGGTCTTTCCACAGCCTCTAAGTCTCTCACATTGCCACATGTTCCTTATACACCTGCAGTCTTGTTTTCATTTTCCACTCTGAACTTCGGGTCACAAGCCAGGGCTCCCTCCCCGCAGTCCCCTCTGTTGTTCCTTTTGGAAGCTACAGCTCCCAGATTCCTCCTGGATTACAGACACCTGCGCGCGGGCGCGCACAGGTGCAGGACATTTCTCCCAGATACCCTTGCGCTTCTCGTTAAAAAGCGAGCTTCCACGAGGTCTCGCTCTCTTGCCCCTTACCCTTGTGTGTCTTGCACATCTGTCCCTTATCGTGTCCCCCCCCATTAAAGCGCACCCACGTGGGAGCCGCGTGTCTGTGTCTTCTCCTTTCGTGCGTGTTTTGTCTGTCCTGTGTTTGTCTCCACACACACCCGCTTTAAAAGAATAATACCCTCCTCTTCCCCTACCACTGTTTTGAGCCTTATGTCCTCATTTGTAGAGCCAGTGCCCTCTAGGGAGCCATAGCACAGGGCACAAGTTTAGGGCCTTGAGTATCTGCAGGCAGTATCTTTGGATGACAGAAACTACCTGGGTGAGGTGAGGGCACACCAGACTGGTCCCTCAGAATCTCCCCTGGGCTCCCCAACATCTGGTGGCTGCAACCCAGGTCCTGTCTCCAGGCAATGCCATCAGCTCTGTCTTCACATAGTCCCCCGGATGTCTGCTGTCTGCTGTCGCCCCCTATCTACCCTCCGTGCCAAGGTCCCGCTCATGCTGAACTGGAGCCTGTTCTAATGACTCATTCTTTGTTTGATTTCCTGCCCATGTCCTGTGTCCATATAAGGTCACATTCTGAGGTCCTGGGGTTTAGGACTTTAATATCTGCATGGAGGGACACCAATGCAGAGCATTTTGCCAATGGCCTATAAATTTCCATTAAAAAAAAAAAAAGTCAGGCCCCTGGACCCAAGGAGAGCTGTGTCTCATGTGCCCAGGCAATAGAGGTGCTGGCCTGTCATCAGTTTCTCTGAGTCCTTACACCAACTCTCAGGACATGTGACTCAGAGAGGTTAAGGCATTTGCCAGAGGTTGCACCACAGTGGCAAAGCTGAAGGTCACTCCCAGGATAGGCACCACTGTACTGCACCGGGTGGAATAGTCCTGTTGTGGGCACAGAGGTATGGAGCAGATTCTGAGCCGAGAACGTGGTCCTGGGGACCAGGTGTGAGGGACACGGGAGTCCATGGTAGGAAGAGGGTTGTCCAGCTCTCAGGCGGCCTAGGAGCTGGCAGCCTCCCAGGTTCAGGGGCCCACAGGTCTGAGTCACCACTGTGACCTAGCCGGCCTGGCCGATACTCCAGGGACTGGGCCAAGGGGCTGAGGAATGTTACCAGAGGTGCAGAGGTGGGGCTCACTCCCGCCCCCAGGCTTCATTCTAAAGACACGCGGCTATCCAGGAAGCTGGGAGGTGGCACTTCCTGCCAGAGGCTCAAGAGTTTATTGTGTGGGATCCAGGCCAGTTGCTCACTTCTCTTGCTTTCTCCAGGCAGCTGGGTTTGTGGTTCTAGGTTAGCATTTGCTCAGGCCCTAGCTTGCTCACTCGGCGTTCATCCCTGCTTCCATTTGCCGTTCCCCAGGTACTTGTTTTTATCACGTCACTCAGACCTGCTGGCTCCCCACACAGCCCCTCTTCCCCTCACCCGCATACCTGTTTGCCCATCAGCCATCTAGCTTCTCACTTAAAGGTCCTTGTGACTGACCCCCTCCCTCAGCCATTTTCTTTTTTAAGATTGTGTGTGTGTGTGTGTACATATGTACACAATGCATTGCAGGAGCCCAAGGAGGCCAGAAGAAGGCACTGGATACCCTGGAGCTGTTATTACAGTGGGTTGTGAGCCGCCCAGTGTAGATGCTGGGAACTGAACTCCGGCCCACTGCAAGAGCAGACATTCTCTTGGCCAGTGTGCCATCTTTCCAGCCACTCGGATTTTTTCTCATCCCACCCCTCACCTTGTTCTTCCACCATCCGTCCACCTATCCATTCATCTGCCTATCCATCCACCCACTCACCCATCCATCTGTCCATCAATGTCCATCATCCATCCATCCATTCATCTATCACCCACCCACCTATCCATTCATCTGTCCATCCGTTCTTCCACCCATCCATCCATCTACCTATCCACTCATCTGTCCATTCGTCCATCCATCCACCCACATGTCCATCAATCCACCCACTCCCTGTCCACCCGCCTATGACCCATCCTTTATTAAGCACCTACTGTGTTCCCCACACGCAGCTCCATGAACCCTCATCATGTACCAGCTTCACCCCTGTCCTCCTTGCTGATTCTTCTTACACGCGGGGAGGAGCCTCGGCAGTTGGACCCCATCTCCTCTCCCTTCCTGTGACATCATTCTCTTGTCTCCTCCTGAGAAAGGAGTGCTGGGAAAGTGGACATTTGTTCCCTGCATGACCTGTCTGAGCCAGTGGTGGCGTCCTGCAAATTAGGCCTCCCATGGTCCTTTTCCCATGAGGCCTTCCATCTTCCAGGAGCACGCGTAGTTCTAGGACTGCGGCTCCTACGGAACCATGTTTCGAGTTTCTTCAACTCCATTGCTTGATTCCTGTGTACTTGGTTCCCCAGTTAAGAGTGCCTGGGACCTCCCTTCTTGAAGGTAAATACGCTTTCATGGTCACTGGCTCTCAGCTCTCCTAGAAGGGCAGCCTTATCCCCGTGATAAGGCCATGGCATTCTGGTCAGGGAGCAGGGGCTTGTGTTCTGCAGCAGAGGCAGGTTTTAGGACCATAGATGACACATCCGCCTCCCCTGCAGGAATTCCACACCGCCCCCTGCCCCCACCCCACCCCAACAGCTACTCCTTCATGCGCTTTCTCGGCACCCTCTGTTCCACAGCAAGGCCAGCCTCACTGCCAAACCTTGGTGCTCTCTGCCTGCTTGTCACCACCACCTTTGCACAGAGGAGGAAGTCACAGCTCCCAGAGGCTTATGGGGAGGGATTATGCCAAGGTGAAGCCTTGGCTTCCTTGGTTTTATTTAATCCTTTTGGTTTTATTTTGAAATTGGAATGGCTGTGGGGATGAGAGTGGCCAGATCAACAGCATAGTTCATGTCTGGTACACGTGTATTTGCTTACTTGATTTTTTAAAAATCTTTTTATTAGATTAAAATATGTGCATAGGTATTTTGCCCGCATGTATGTCTGTGTACCACATGCATGTAAAGCCCACACAGGCCAGAAGAGGGCATTTGGCCCTCCTGGAACTGGAATTAGAAGGTTTGT